GGTAAAGATGGTAGGTCATGCAGAAAGAATGAGAAAAAATAGGGGAAAGGGAACTCCAACCACAGTCAGCAATGAGGTGGAGCGCTTCCCTCTGTAGACAGTAGGTTGTTTGCTATCAGAGAAATAGGAATGCAGCCAGCTGATTATCCAGGACTCAGTACTTGTCCTGGTTAGCTTCTCCAGTGAAAAAAGTCTTGGGACAGAATCAAATGCCGAAATATAGTCTAAAAAGACACACCTGACATACTTGACATTTTTATCAAGACTATAAGTGATATCGAGATGTAAGAGAGTGGTGGCATCCAAAGTGCTCCTTCTGCTTTCATATGCAAATTGATTAGGGTCTCCGAAAGCCTTCATTGAGGGCTGAAGTACAGGTATTATAAACTTCTCCATTACTGTTAAGAACGAAGAGGTGACTGCAATCGGATGGTATTTTGTGCATGCACCTGGAGTCCTAGACTTAGGTGCGGAGACTATCTTAATATCTTTCCAGGGAACTGACATGGTGTTTCCTGAAAACGATCTGTTAAACATGTTAGCTAATGGATGGCATAAAATATAAACACACTTTGTCAATACGAAGTTTGACATACGATCCGAACCTTAACTGTGAGAAGGGTTAAGGGTTTTGAGACATTTGAAAAGATAGTAAGCGGGGAACTGTGGACAACGTTCTTCATTGGAAATAGGTAGACAGAGTGGGAGCGAATAGGCGGGTTGGTGTAGAAATGGTTTGTTCAATGCATAGACATCGACATAGGTTCTTTACTACCAGAAAGGTCTTAAAAAGGTTTCCACATGCTGAAAGAGCCTTTGTGTGACAAAACTTTCTGGTTGTATAGTAGACTCAGACGTTTAATTTCCAACCTAATTAAAACGTCCAATCGATGAGAACCAGCATTATCACTTACCTTCTATAGTCTTTCTTTTTCTCTTCTAAGTTTCTTAAGCTGGGGAGAGGATATACTACAGAAGCGTAGAAACAGCTTTTCAGTTGGGCAACATGTATCTAGGTAGAACTTGAGGTAGCATGTTACACCAATAATAGTATCATTTAAGTCATCCCTTTCAAATATATTCCAGTCTGTACATTGAAGTATTTCTTTTAGATTGAGTATGCTACTAAGTGAGTAGTTTCTATGTACAATCTTCTTATATGTGATGGCTGTTTTGTGTAGTTTGCCATATATTTTGGGCAAAACACATGTAATGCAATGATCTGAGCTAAGCAGTGGGGATCTCTTTCAAGTTTCGTATATATCAGTATCATTCGCGAATACCAAGTCTAGTATGGCATCCTGACATGTTGTGAAGTTAAAAATGTTTTGATGACCAAGAGTTTTGAGAAAGCTTTGGTCACAAGAGTTGAAATCACCACATATTATCGACAAGGAACCACAGAGTATAGGGGTTGCGAATTCTATGAATATATCAGAGAAACTGGATGATTCAGGGTAAATGCAACCATTTTTTTATTATTTGTCCCTTGAATTCCTAGTGGAAAATAAGGCTTCAGTAGCACGTCTCCATTACACTCTGTTCTACGCAATCTTATGAACCTGGCTTCATGATAGCCCACAAGCTCTCATTTCCTCCTCACACCATCTCCTCCATGTCACACTCACCTCAGAACCCAACTCGCCACTTCCCATCGAGGTCTCACTTGACGGCCTGGCCTGGCCTGACGCGTGATGTCCCCAGTCGGCCTTCTCAGTGTATGCCCAATCCAATCCAATCCAATCCATCTCCACTTCCTTCCACTGCATAGTTGTTCAGCGATAGATCCTTGGTTGGTTCGTTGACAGCCAACCACAGTTCCTTCTTGCTTATTCTTGTTATTCTGGCCTTCTGATCTGAGCTTGAGTAACGAGCCAGTGTAGGCAGTTGTTGATAAATGTCTGTAGTTAGTTGGAGGTGCCTTTCGTAATGCGCCAAGTCTCTGAACCATATAGAAGAACTGACTTGACGTTGGTGTTGAAAATCCAGATCCTGTTCCACATGCTGAGTGCAGAAGATCTCCACACTGTTTTCAGGTTAATGAAAGCCTATCTTGCTTTTCCGATTCTGACTTTGACATCCTCGTCTGTGCCTGTGCTGCTTGTAGTTGAAACTATGCTGCATAGGTAGGGAGGTAGGTGAAAGAGGTTACTCCCTTTAAGTTTCTCCCATTGATGGTGATTGGAGCTTGTTTTTGTTGGTGGTGATGTTGGTTGAGTATCTTCATCACCTTTGTCTTCCTTACGTTCACCTGGAGTTCCGTCTTCGCGGTCCTGCTTCTTCTGTCAACTTGTTGGATTTTGCCTGTAGATCTTCGAGTTTGTGTGACATTAGACAGGCATTACATAAATATTTGTAATATAAAAATAGCGATATTTGTTCAAATGTTTTGGGTGGCATTTTACAGTGATACAATCTATGTAATCATTTGTGAATTTGAAGCATATGTAACTGGAAGTGCACCAACAGGTATTGATGAAGGTAGCTACTCCACCTCCAGTTTTCTTAGTACAGCTACGTGGATTCTGACGGAGAATTTTGAAACCCTTCAGAGAAATTAAATTGTCATCATATAGTTCATGTAACCAAGTTTCTTACAACATAATTACTCCAGTATTACAGTACACATCGGAGGATATAAGAGACTGCAAGTAAGCCATTTTTCTCTGCAGTGACCTGCAGTTCATGCTTATAATTTCAGGCAGAGCCATTTGGGATAAGGTTATTTTCTTATTTGATACTGGTATCGTAGAAGGCCATAAACTTGTTAAAAATGCGCGTGAATATATAATACGATCAAAGGACATAATAGAATGATTAGAAGAAGGAGACTAAAGTCGCGAAAGATGACTCCTATTTCTTTGATGGATTGTTCCTTCCAACCTGAACGATCGCACGATCTAAAGATTCACAGAATACAATTTTCATTTTCTTTTCTTGAGAACTCTCTTCACTTTTCTTGTTGTATACTCATACTGCCTTACAGGAGAATGGAGTAAAGCTGCGTTTGGAGAATATGGTGTTATACCGCAGCCATCTGTACTATGACTAATTACACCGTTTGTTACGAAATATAATTTACTGAAACAAAATTTAAAATCCAGTTAGAAATGAGTAATATTGATTCAGCACCAAAAGAATGCGTGGTGCACTTGAATGCATTTTGGTTGCTTGAAGGCAATTGGTAAGAAACCCTGGACGTTGGTTTCGTGGTTGTTGGCACTCATCAGTAGGAGGTTAATCACGGCCAATGGCAAAGTCGCAGATTGCAACATAGCGTGACTTGGGTGAGAATCTCAGAGGAGATAAAGCTTCCCTTTAGGTTGCAAATGTGCCTTGCTGACGAGTGATACCAAGTGTGACTTACTCCCGACTGCCTCCAACCAACTAAGAACTATGCAAACTATCTTGTACCAGCACTTCTCCTTCACAAGAAGTCCTAAACAATTCGGTTGGCGATTCATCTGTGTAATCCAACGATGAAGTGGTTCAATTAACGTCACCGTTCATTACATAACACCTAAACAACGTTCTGCTTGTAGTTTACTTGGCGGTTAACATCGAAATCCACGATGTGCATTACATCCTATCTGGGACTCCCCAGCTAGATGTAACCACACCCCAGTCAGTGATGGCGTTTCCACTGAAGCTGGAATCCAGTACCATTGCTTCAAACAACTAGGCAATTCAGGCTCAAGAGCTAATTCGTGTGAAATCGGTATCAGTTGTTATTTATTCATACTTGCAAACTACAATACAATGAATATTCAAGGATTATCGAGGCAGCCGCATAGGAGACCATCTGCCAAAAGAGGTCAAACAGTTCGATTCAGTGTAGCATATTTCATTAAATAAATGATGTGCTTAGTATAATTGTTTTTATATGATACCGTCGTTGATTGGACCGAATTGATCGGTCTCTATTGGGCTTTTGAGGTGATCGCTCCTGAGTCCGAATCTCGGTGGGAACAACATCACTCACCGGGAAGCAAGTATATCCAGCTGACGAGTCTCAAACTGGACGAAATGAGCATCTTGGATTCCACTGCTAGCCACTTCTCATCATTAATATACATAATTAAAATATAGGCAATATCGAGGCATCCGCACAGGAGCCCATATGTCAATAGAGACCGATCAATTCGGTCCAATCAACGATGGTGTAATGTAAGCAATAACACTAAAACTATACCCGTCGCACAAGAAGTGGCTATCGTGGCTCGGTGGTGTAGTGGATAACGCTCTGGCGTTTGAAGCTACCACTCCCGAGTCCGAATCTCCGTGGGAACAACATCACTCACTGGGAAGCAGGTACATCCAGCTGATGAGTCCCAAATAGGACGACATGCGCATCCTGGATTGCACTGCTGGCCGCGATCCATCATCAACATGAATGATGTGTTGTTTAAAAACATTAGGACATAATTACAGTAACGTCGATAACTAATAACGTCATAATTTCAAGTCAGTAGTGAAATTACTGGGGTTAGAAGTAACCCTGATTCATGTTACTTTTTAATGAAGTGTGGAACTAGTTAATTGTGGCTAGCAGGAGAATCCAGGACGCGCGTTTCGTCCTATTTGGGACTTGTCAGCTGGATGTACCTGCACCCCAGTGATGTTGTTCCCACTAGGACTCGTACCCATCACTTCAAACGCCAAGGCGTTACCCACTGTGCCGCGGAGTGTGAAATACCGGGACAGTTTAGTTGTTTATCTTGATTAAAGTAAAATAACAATAATTATCGATTTTGATGATTATTCACTTTCACCTTGTATAATCTTTATATAAGCTTTATAATCTTTTGTGCATAACCTTGAACAATATGAGTTACAATTCGAAAAATATTTTGAACTAGAATTTTTTTGAAAAACGGATGCTCATATTCATATATGTATAAATATTTCATAGGAATAAATCGAAAAAAATAAACTAACAGTGATATGTGTGCATTCACTTTTTTCACAAGAAAAATATCTTAAAATTTGTTTAGGTAGTTAGAAAAGTAGCCAATCCGAAGCTGAGAAAAATTAATCAATATACATCACATGTCATGTTAACTCAAGGTCACTGCATGACTGAAAGATAATTACACAAAAAAGATTTTGATCATAAATTGAACTATTGACTAGCTGATAAGTTCAATTTTTCAAAAATAAATCTATTACACAATTTAATTATAAATTTTGATCAAATCTTATATTCATATATATTATGGCATCAATAGAAGACTGGCCAATAGTTGTAGATAATGGTGCTGGACATTTAAAAGCTGGTTATGCTGGTGATGGAGGACCAAGAATTCTTATCCCTATGCTAACTGGAAGGCCAACAAAATGTTCAAAATATACAGATTGGTTTGTTGGTGAATATGCAAATGCTTTACGTAATGAATTAATTCTTAGTTGTCCTATTACAAATGGAATTGTAACAGATATTGATGAATTATCGTTAGTATGGTATTATATGTTTATGAAAGAATTACGTACAAATCCAGAGAATCATCCTGTTCTTATCACGGAATATCCTTTATTACCTAAATTTAATCGTGAAAAATTAGCTGAAATGGTTTTTGAAAAATTTCATATGCCTGGTTTATACTTTACAGATCAATCTGCATTAGCTTTATATGCTTATGGATTAACATCAGGTATAGTTGTTGATATAGGCACAGAAATGTCAAATATTGTCCCTATTGATAATACTATTATGCTATCGAATGAAATTCGACGTCAACATTATGGTGGATCACATATAACTGAAGTATTACGATATATGTTAACTGAAACACATCCAACTGCTACAACATCAATATCACGTGATTTTGCACGTAGTTTAAAAGAGAAATTTTGCTTCATATCAATGAATACAGAAAATGAATTGAAACATTTAAATTCTTCATCAAATAAACAAAATATTCATTATACACCAGATGGACATGTAATAAATTTAACTAAAGAAAAATTTATGGCACCAGAACTATTATTTTATCCAAGACAAGCTGGTCTTAATGGTACAATTGGACTACAAAATATTATCAATGATTCAATTCAAAAATGTCCTTATCAATTACAATCAACATTATATTCAAATATTGTTTTAAGTGGTGGAAGTACATTATTTCCTGGATTTGTTCAACGTTTAGAATATGAATTGAAACAGTTAAATTCATCAATTAATCAATCTATTCATGTACATAATAAACAAAATGATCAAAAATATGCTGTATGGATTGGTGGTTCAATTTTAGCTTCATTAAGTTCATTTCATAAAATTTATATACAAAGGAAAGAATATGATGAAGTTGGTCTATCTATTGTACACACAAGATAGAAAAAAATCAATAATATATCTGCAGATCATATATATATATATATATGTTATTGATTTTTTTCAAAATTTGAATTTTCGCACATAACAGGTGGGCAAGTTAACTTGCCTCTAAACTTGTTAGAAAGTAAAATAGGCAAATGAATAAATACAGATGAAGTAAGATAGAAAATTGAACTATCATAATGGTAATATGCATTTTACATATTCATTATTAATTAGTTAAAAAATAAATAAATAAATAAATTATTTATTCATATAAATTGTATACTTTACAAATAATCATTCATTTATATACATATGATATAATTGATATTACAAGCATTGAAATGATTATTCAAATATTATTTTCTTCATATAAAATAAATATAGACAAAAAAAACAACATTCATCTTACAGATTTTGTATAAAAAAACAAAATGATAACAGCAATAACATTATTTCCTTAATTAAATCATGATGATGATGATGATAAATTCATTGTAAATTTATTTTTTTATAAAAAAAATTAATATTTAATCAATAAAAAAATGTTTTGGTAAGTTGTTCTCACAAATTAACAAACTTATGCATAGATAAAATGTACATTTATATACGTACATGTATAGTCTCCAGATGTGAAGGGTATTTTGTTACTGTTATATTTATTATTTGTCCTTTGGGTTCCTAGTGGAACATAGAGCTTCACTAGCAGTCTTTTTAACTTGCCTCCACAACTCCCTAGAAGGTTTCTTCCTCACACGATCTTCTCCATGTCACCTTCGGATGTATAACTCGTCGTTTCCCGTTTGACTTCAACTCGACGGCCTGGCCTGACGCGTGATGTCCTCAAATGGTCTTCTCACTATACCTCCAATCAAATCAATCTCCACTGCCCTCCGCATATTTGTTGGGTAATAGATTCTTGGCTGGTCGGTTCGTTGACAGCCAGTCAGAGTCCCTTCCTGCTTATTCTTATTATTCTCCTCATCCATCTCATCAATCTTCAGTATCGAGTGGGTGTAGGCACCAGCTGTTGCTGTAGTGTATGTTTACAGTTTGTTGGAAATACTTTTCGTAACACGCCAAGTCTCTCAACCATCACACAGAAGCACTGACTGACTTGACTGAATTGGTGTTGAAAATTCGGATGCTGTTCAGGCTTTATGCTGAGTGCATTGCAGTGTAGTGCAGTAGATCTCCACACTGATTATTTCAGGTTAGTGAAAGAAGGTCTGTCTTGTTGTCTTTCCGATTCTGACTGGCTTTGACATCGTCATTTGTGCCGCCACCGCCACCTGTAGTTGAAACGATGCTGCCTGTCTGGGTGGCTGGTTAGTTGAAAGAGACAACTTGCTTCAGATTTCTTCCATTGATGTTGATTGGTGCTTGTTGATGTTGATGTTGTGGTTGTTGTTGATTGGGTATCTTCTTCACCTCTACCTCTGTCTTCTCTACGCTCACTTGAAGTCCTGTCTTCGTTATCCTACCTCTCCTGTCAACTTGTTAGTTTTTGCCTGTACATCTTCGAGTTTGTGCTACAAGACATTAGACATAAATCATCATCATTGGCAAAATCTGGGTTATCTTCTGGGGTTTTTTCATCGATCAGACAGCGTATGCCTATCTTATCGCTCCTCACAGTTTGTTGTATCAGCCAGTCGACAACAATCAGGATGATGATCGGTGATAGTAGGTGGCAAACTTGTCTTTCTCCTGTCTTCACTTCAAATGCATCAGGTGTGGACAGTAAATCAATTTTAATAAAAAGTTATCAAGTTTGTATGAAATTGTAAGGATTAGGACAAATTTTTCCAATTTACACGTTCATCATCTGTCATATCAAATCAAAATGTCAGTTGATCTCTAAGAGAGTAAAACTTCTTTACTGGTATTGTGTTCTCTGAGCTGTATGGTTTAATCGTCAAGCTTTCGTTGTCGTTCTGAACAACATCATCAGCACAAACTCAAGAAGTGAGTTATGTAGTTTTCCATTCAACTCGTTCTGTACTTTGTCCTGACAGCCTTGTATGTGATTGGCTGTTTCTCGCATTTCTGGTCATTATCACCACATTTTTTCCTATTGGTTGTCCGGTTCACGCGAAATTTGACATTCTTGTTGTTTCTTATTGGTTGATAGATTGGGTTAACGTCAATATGTCTCTTGAGTGCCCACCTGAATACTAGGCTTCTAAAAATTCTCTGGCATGCTTTTTATTTCCTTAATACAAGATTTCTTCATTTTCCAAGTCAAACTCATGTCCACAGTTGTCCGTATGCATTGATATGAGAAAAGATATGTTATGACGCTTCACTGCTACGCGATGTTTATGTCGATGGATACGAAGAGGGCTACCACTCTGTCCGATATAGTGTTTTTCACTGTTTCTGCGGTTCATTTCGTAGATAATGTTTGGTTTGTCTTCCTTTGCTATTGTGGCGCTTGGTCTGCATAACAAAGACTGAGCTTGTGAGCTACAGCGATTCCAAATGGCTTCCAATAATCTAGTTGTGATCTGCCAGCTTTGCATAGCTTTTACCCGCTGCTTTGCCCATGAGCTTTAAGTAACCTACTTAGCTGTTTTCACACTGTCACTAGTTTTTCTTTCCCCTGCTCTCAAGGCTGAACTCTCATTGGTTGCCAACTATTTTTACCTATATGTGGATTTAGTGTTGTCATAGTCCTTTGGAAATGTATATATTCAGCATCGCTGTCAACTGTATTGACTTCCCAAGTTGGTATTCATCGTAGACTGAATTCAGTTGGAGGAACAATGGAAATCTGAGAGAACTGGACAGCTGTTTCGTCCTAGTATTGGACTCTTCAGCAGTGCACACCCATGACCCCCGCAGGTATCTGCCGTGAACTGATAGAAGTTGGGAATATGGGCCAATGGATTTCAATCCAGTGACTCTGTGGTGACGTGCTGGCCACGGAACTTGAAGGTTGTGGGTTCGGTCCCTGGCGGGGTCATGGGTGCGCACTGCTGAAGAGTCTCATACTAGGACGAAACAGCTGTCCAGTGGCCCCAGGTTTCCATTATGCCTCTAACTGGATTCAGTCTACGATGAATACCAACTTGAAATGTTTCTAAATCCCCAAATTCAATCGTATTGACTTCTGTTGAGATAGCGAAAAGCTTACTTTCAACGGTCTGTCTTCTCTGCTTGTCTTCACGTGTCTGTAGTATTGTTATGATGGTGGTTGACGTTCTGATTTGCGTTCAGGTCGGTTCGTCTGCACCTTAGGTTCACATCATTTGTTGTCTGCTAGGCTCTTATCACTCGTAGACTATTAAGTCGTACTACTGATCATAGCATGATCTCAGGGACATTCTTCATGTAGGGTAGGACAGTCTCCTTGTTGATTTTCGAGGTTGACTTCTTGATTGACGGCGAATTATGTAAGCGTCTTTTGGTAAAGCTGTGTGGATGGATGTTCTTCTGTAAAACAGTTATTAAATAGGGTTTTTTTCCCTTTTCTCCGCAGGGTTGATGCATTACAGTGTGACTTTGCTCTTTTGAACAAAGTTTTTATACAACTGATATTGTGTTCTGTTGGGTTGTTGCTATTGTAGTTGAGAATATGAATCAGGTTTTTGTATGCTTCATTTGCCAATTTTCTCGAATTTGTTCTAGTGATCAGAACATCTAAAAGGGCAAATTTCTGATTTGATTCCTCTTCGCTTGTGAATTTGGTGTCATAGAAAATGTTGTTGTTCATAAATTTGAAAGCGTTTTCCAATTATTTTCTTTTAACAATGAGAAACGTGTCATCTATAGATTGGACCCAAAGTTTTGATTCAATCAATGATAATACCTAAGTTTCTAGTCTTTGTATTACAACACCTCCAATTAGTTGTAATATAGGGGATCCCGTTAGTGTCCCCTTTGTTTGTTGGTAGAGTTTGCAGTTAAATTGACAATATATTGTACAAAATAAATTATGAAATAACAATGAAACAAAAATGTATCACCGAAGAAAATTTACTTTACTTAAAAACGTATTCAAAAACACTAGAAGCAAATAACAGTCTTTTGTCAATCATTGTTCAAGAGGAGAATAAAAGTTTCTAAAGACACAAGGAAATAACTACTGTGGCCGTGGTAAGGTTAATGAATATACACATAGTTTATGAATGCATAGATCTGGTTTAAGGTTGGGAACTACCAATGATTTAGTTGTGTATAGATGATGTAGTTGAAGGCTTCCAAAATTGTGAAAAGGTACCCTGTAAATTAATTTGAAGGGACTACTTTGAGTGACTAGATGTCTGAAAGTCACAAGTTATTAATATACTTTCCCTCTCCTTTGGATAATTAGATTAAACAATATTCCAGAATTCGCTTACATACAACATTATGTACGACCAATGTATGTTGCTGGGCAGCAACAAGTAAACTGATAGATCCTGAAAGTAATATTCTGTCCCTAGTTGATTTATAGATTAATTATCTACTCGAAAATGTGATTCTCAGGTAGGTTCCATGAAATATGTCCCACAAAATTCTTGACAGAAATTTTTTGACAATTTCACTCTTAAAGTTGTCTTTCAATTCAAGGTTTACACAAAAGAGTTTTCTTTGAGAAGATCAACAAATTTGAACTTCTAGCTTTTCTGTTACATTACAGTTATTGAATCTAGGTGGATAACCATTCTCTAGTATGATATATATAAGTCTTAGGTCAATCAATATCTGGTGTGTTTTCAGAATAGATCTTTCGAATCCTTGAACATAATGAACCCACAAGGTACTTTTCAATAATGAGAGAAATATAACTTTGCAAGCTGATAAAGTGTCCGCTTCACCTCGACTTTTTCTACATTGATCTTTGGATAGAATTATCTGATCTTCTTGTTAATGGAACATTGAGGGACAGAAATATTGTATTAGGTTCACATTCTGAAGTGAAGTTATTACATGAATATGCAGTATCGAAAGTGTTGAGGAAGTTTATCATATTAAATTCTTCATTGATATAAAAAGTCATTAGTTTTTAAAGAAAATTTTGAAAGGAAAGAATTATTGAAATGATGGAAGTAGTCAATCGGACATTGATAGATGGGAACTACTGGCAATAGTTACTGCGGAACGATATCAATAGATTCGGAGTGTTTCACCAGCATAAGATCAGGCATTAGTGTATGACAGTCCAAGTTTCCACACTTCGTACCAGCACATCAAGCAACAAAGTGCCTATATAAAAGGTAAAGAAGTCGGAAAAAATTGAATAAAAGTGGTAGAAAGCAGTAAAACATAGAGAAACGAGAAATAAGAGAATACTGAATTCATTATGATAATTAACATGAAGAATATGTGTAGATACATATGCATCACTAACCTTGATTCTGAACCATGTCACCTAGAGTCCCCAACCACTAGTTTCTGTTGTTATTCAGACCCCAACTGGGAAGTCTACATTTCTCTAAACATCTCAGACCAACAGTCGAAGACTTCATGTAATGATGCCATGTTTTAGTCTAACCGCCCCTATTCTGTTCCCAGCCTGAACCTTCTTCGGTTAACACTATGCTATGAGGCTGATGGTGACCAGGCATACGTAA